TGGGCCTTCAGGATTTAGGGGTTGAGGATATTCAAACTGATTCCTCAGCACATGAGTCTGTGGCACGAAATGGAGCTGAGGTCTTCTGTTTCCTGCTTATGAGTCTATGCCCATTCTTCTCATGAAGCATTCAGAGCATGTCAATGCATATGGCGTTGCTGGCATGAGGTTGCGGAGGAGTCGTAACTTGTGGAGTAAGTTTCCATCTTTTCGACGCTGTCAGGTATACAGTTTTCGCGCTCCAGCTCATGCAGCCTTCCTAAACGGATCCTTTGCCTGAGTTTGGCTGCCAATTTCACTCTCTAGGAAGCCCCCTGTGAGTTCCCATGATGACCGAAATAGAGCTGGGTCTTACCGAAACCAGCCAACAAAACAGATATACACACGGCCACACCAATCCAAGAACAACCAGGGTACATGAACACCTGCGCAAACACAAGGGCAGCGAAGCAGTCACCATGCGCTTGAAAGGCGCTACACGAATTCGTATATGAGCAAGACGCGCGTTGAAAGGCACTTGCATAGGCATTAACTTCAGTAATCGGTGTGAAAGAACGAAAGACAGGCAGACAGACAAACAGTTAGATAGACAGGCAGACCAGGATTGTCCGGTCCGGGAATCCACAGGAACAGCCAAAAGCGGAAACAAAGCACAAACAAAGTAACAAAAAAAGCAATCCAGGTGCCTCTGTCGGCTGGCCCATTGAAAAGAGAAGCAACAAAAAAGCAAACCAAAAAGCAAATACAAAGCGACTAAAATACAAAAAGCCAGCAACAAGCAACCGACAAGCAACCAAAGAATCGTTGTTTGCATCGATCCACATTCACTTCAATAAAGCCTACAAAAAGCCAAACAGAAGCACAAAAAAAAAAAATCACACAGCCCCACGCACGCTTCCTATTTACACTACTTCCCATTCTATTCGTGTTTAGAAGTGCCCAACTCACATTCAGATTGGCAGTAATGAATAACAGATAATAGAATAACATCAACAATACCAGTACCGGTATCGGTGACCAATTGTCAGCGGCATTCAATGTCCACATCAGGCACAACACCGTGAAATCGCCTCCCCATCCCCACTCCCATCACCATACGATCTATTGTAACATGCAAAAAAACTACAAATCACAAAGGAATCAAACTCAATCTATGCAAAAACATACTATTCCCGGACCGGCGATCATATATATATATATATGTATATATATATATGTGTGTGTGTGTGTGTATATATATATACACATACATACCTTATGTGTATATATATATATACATATATGTGTATACACACACATGGATACACTCATATGAGGAAAATATCTAAGTTTGAGCATATAGGCATGCCCACATATCGGATTATTACAATGCAGTGCCAACCAAATCGGGCCTGCTCTCCCAACCCACTTTCTCCTCGGCGAAGCTCTGCCGCTCCGACTCGAAGTCCGAAGCTCGTCCTCAAGAAGAGCGTTTATGGGTGCTGGTGTTTTAGGCTCGGGGACTTGGGGTTTAGGGTGTGCGGGTGTAGGACTTCAGGGTAGGACTGTTCGGACCTGCTGCTTCTTGTGAATCTACGCTGGCACCTGTCTGAAGCAGCTCTTCGAAACTATTGTGCGCAGCTTCAGATCCGAAATAAGCTTCGGGGAAACTCGTTATATGTATGTGTATGTGTGTATGTATGTGTGTGTATATATATATATGTGTGTGTGTATATATATATATTATAATGTTTACATACTTCCCCGCGACCGGCGCCCGCAATGGGCTGTCCGGGCATGTATCGGCAACGACAGGTATCTCTGGACATGCCTGTGTGTTCCGAAATGGGGCATTTCGGGTTTCAGATCATACAGGGATACTTCGAGTTTGGGCTTTGCATGGACGCTAAGGTGATGGGCCAACTTCCGGGCCAATTTAGGGTCGAGGATTAGGGATGAGCAACTTTCGAGCTTTTCTTCAAGTTCTCTAGCAAGGGTGTGGGGTCAAGCACGTTTGGCCTGTGATTGCACCTCCGAACCCTTTTGTGAACCCGTACTACGCTGAAACCCTGAACTTGCCCTCAACCCTTCACGGACGTTCACGGAGTTAAGGCCTTAAGCCTTCAGATTTGTGGGTTTCTGTTGCAAGCTGCTTGCTTCAACGAGCAACGATTTGAGCAAGGGCTTCTGGACCAGACTCATGGTAGGGCATGCCGCGTGAGACGGAACCCAAAACATCCCAAGCCTATCTCAGGAAATTCAGGCATCATCTGCTTTCTGATGTCTGCAGCCCACTTCAGCGCCATCAGGAGCGGCAAGTGATGCATACCGAAATCCCAGCGAGAATTATCCCTCCCGACCCAGACCTGTGAACTCAAAAACCCTAAATCCAAAAGCCATAAAAAGCTCTTTCTAAGCCCTTCCTCGACCAATGAAAGCTCCAAACCCCAAAAGCCTAAACACCCCAACCCCTAAAACCCCACGACGAGTGACGTTTGAGATCAGCTTCGGAAGAGCTGAGCTTTTGTGTCACCCTCTGCAGCTCACCCGACCTTCGGTTCCCAAGGTTTCCGGAACAGGGCTTACGCTCTGACAACTCGGACAAGCCAGGCGAGGTTTCCATAGGTGCGGGCCGGCACGGAACAGGGTTTAGGGCTTGGCGTCCAGGATTTAGCCCGGCGCTTTTACTCGCACACTCGCGCGAAGGCAGGCACGGTTTCATGAGTCGGGCATTCAGGGTTAAAGGGGTCTCGTGTAGTAAGCCGACTTTTTACTCCCGAGAACCGTCTCAGTTCTGGGAGAGCGGCAAGCTTCACTATCTTCACTTTCTTTAGGCTCTTTAGGCACTGCTTGCATAGCATACCCGTCGCAAGGATTTCAAGAACTTATGATCAGCTGAAGTTCGCTTGTCCACACACTGAATGTCAGATTCGCAAATCTGCTTCCTGTGTTATTCAGAAAGCAGACCTGTGCAACATGGAAAACATGGGCTTGGGCTTGATGTTCAGAGATCCGCTTCTGGCCTCAAGCTTGAGAGGTCAAATCGGGCCTCGACACTCAGCATCGAACTATCGCCCAAGTCGTTGAAGGGGCTTTGCGTGTACGTGAAGTTGTCAGGGGTAAGGACTAAGACTTCCAGGACATAGATTTTGGCAGTCTCACGATGAGGCTCCACCAGGTGCTCCATGTGTTTGGGGGCTTTGTTTCGGACTAGGGCGGGGTGGATGTTGGCTGAGGAATGTCCGGGTCCAGGTTGATGATATGTGGGTTTTCTATGCGTCTGGCATGTGAGGACAGACGAGGACTCCCACCGCAACAAACCCACAGAAGCCTATGACATCTAAGCCCCAAAGCCCCAGGACCCTAAGCCTCAACTCTGAACACACCGCTGAACGCAGAACAGTTCTTTCTCAAGGCCATGACAGGTTTCGCACTTGGCCCTGCAACTCGTCACACCTAAACAGTGGCAGCAGAGGTCTAATGTCTAATGCTGAATGTTGGACTTAAAGAATCCTTCGCTCGAAACCCCAAACCCGTTGTGCTGTTCTCGTTCAGGCTCGCGGCCCCTAAGGGGGTTTGGGACATGATGCTTGTTGCGGCCAATACCAGGAGAACTTGCTGACATCATCGTGGTAGCAACATGAGTGATGACCGTAAGAGTGCCTGAAAGCTGCAGCGAAACCACCCACAAACAGTATTGGCACCAGTGCTGCAGTATGTAATGCCACCGCCATCCTTGCCAACGTCAGCGGCATGGCAAAACGAAACGACTCAGGTGTCTCATCATGGTGATAATCAACCACCGTCCGCACCCTTACTCTCGCAACGACAGCATGCAAGTTGCCGCCAGCAACACCGCCACCGTGGTCACCGCCAGCACCACTGCAGCAACAGCACCATCTCCATGATAAACGTCACCTCTGCACCTTCACAAGCATCGGCATCATCAGCATCGTCATCACCCTCCTCACGCTGGTAATCATCATCATCATCATCACCATAATGATGAGCGCAGCTTCACGCTTGCTCCTGCGCTTCCCCATTCCCACCGTCATATGAGCATCAGGGTGATCATGATAAGATGCCCTCTCATCGTCCAGCAGCAACAATCACCATCCTGATCAGCAGCACCCGCATCGGCCTTTGATCATTAGGTCGCTAATCGCTATCATCCCGCCACCATCCACATCAACGACATCATCTTCACACTGATCACCGTAGCTACATCACGCAACCTGTACCATCAGTACCGCTTTGTCAGGCTCATTATCTTGATCATCATGACCATCGCCATCGCCACTGCATCATCATCACCATAACCAGCATCACCACTGCCATCACCAACATGAAAATGGTTGCCATTGTCACCACTAAGTACCACCAGCATCGTCATCTCGGTCGTCATCTCCATCATAATCAACATCGTCGGCATCACCACCATCATCATCATCACGATTATCCTCCTCTTGGTGTTCGTCATCCTCTTTTCCTCATCCACAGCAGCAGAAACCCTCTTAGTCTTGGTAATCCTTGTCGGCACGGTCATTAACAGCAGACATCAGTTGAAATCAGTACAGCAAACCTCGCACTCCCTCTGAGCGTCTCCGCTGGCCCTGTAGCTTCTGCTCTGCACTCGCGGCAGAAAGCCTCAATGTGCAGAAACTTGCGGCGGTTGGCTCATGCTTGTAAAGATCCTGCCGGGTTGGGGCATTGCATGACTGATGTCGAACCTCAGGGACAAGCGAATGTGCTGAGTTTGGAGTATAGGCAGCATAGGGTATGCAATGTCATTATATTCAGAGGGGTGTGTTTGCTTGCTCGAGGGCGCGTCGTAGGTTTGCAAGCCCCGTGGTCCAACTGCAGCCATGCTGGCAGCTTGCTACAGGCCACTCTTTTCTTCGCCATTCCCTTACCATCCACCTCTTCGGTCGCGACAGCCCACGGACTTTCGCCGTCTGTGCCGGGCCGTGAAAAGGAGCAATTACTAGCTCCAAATCTTGCAACTTTTTCCCCGGCTGCACTCAGCAAGCGTGCTGCTTGTGCACGCAGGGGAGGAGCGGTGATCTTGCCTTTCGTCCAGCTTGCCAGACATGGGTCCCGAAGGAGAAGGCCTCACAGTCCAGACTTCTAATCCAAGACGTACAAAACGAACCTACCAGAAGCCAACAAACCATGAAAGCTCCTATACAAGGCCAAGCCCAAGAGGCGGCAGTCAGACCGAAGATCACGAAAAAGACCTTGCGAAGAAGCCCTCCCCAGGTGCCTGAGGATCCTTTCGGCTTCGTCCTTAGAGTCGCATACCCCTACACCAAGTCCACAGTCCCCGATAAGCCTGTGCGAGCTCACGGTTCCGACTTCTAAACACCGAGACCTTTCTGAAGAGCATGAAAATGTGGCATCGGAGATGTCAATCATCATCGTGACAGTCTGAACGCTCATTGTTCCAGTGTCATGAAGAGCAGCCTGTCCGAAATGATGGCAACAACCGCTAGCAGCTAACCCGTGCTCAGACATGCACAGAACCCTAAACCCTGCATAGTCCCCCATTCTGCGTCAGCATTCCTCATCATCAACCACAGCATCTTCATCATGAGTATCATCAAAATCCTTTGCAACTTTTGGTTCTGACATATGTATGTGTACACACATACACATATGCGCACCCTAACTTACCTTTTTTGTAGAACCCCCCCCCCCCCCCCAATTCCAAACCCTGAGCCGCTTGACCCCAAGACGAAGCGGGGCGTCGATGTCACGAGCTGCTCCTCGCCGGACCACGGGAGCCCCACCGGTGCGGGCGCAGAGGGCACTGCATCCACGTAGCGTTTCATGTCCTCCGTCCTGACGGCTTTTGGTGCGAGGAGTACATGACGTGATGTTGGAGCTGCATGGCTGTAACAGTACGCAGCACGCACATAGGATGTCCGACACGTTTCTACGCCTACACATGTGCCAACGGCCTGTGCGAACACAACTCATACCTTGGGGGCGAGGTGCTACTTCCGATAGCACACGAAACCACACCACAAGTTCTTTGTGCCCGTGCATCTGTGGTCGTAGAAACCAGGCACACGGTAAACTACGAAAGAAAATCAAAAGCCCTGAGCCCCGGGCTTGAACTCTGAACTGCCATTTGCACTTTTCTCGGCCGAGTTTCGTCGCAGATACGGGCTGGCCCCTTGCCTGCATCCACTCGTCGGCCGTCATGGGACTCGTCTTACCTCAGGTTTCGAACTGTTGTGCACTACTCCCGTACTGTTTGATTAGGCTCCCGCATCGCAAGCAGGGAGTCGCGAACCATGAACCCTCCACGAACAGCTTCGAGACCTTAAACCTAGAACTAGAACAGCCTGCGAAGCAGAGACTCCGGCAGCTTCGCGAGGCAGTCATGTCTCTCCGGACAAACGACATGTAAGTGAATCCAAGTTGTAATCACGCTTTGCGAGACTCTGAACGTGCACGGTAAGAAACATGGGCTTTCACAGCCGAGGCCTTTTATCAAGATCTCAGACCTGCGGCGACACATCGAAATCCCAAAACCACATCCACGTAGATCCCCCAACGCTCCAATCAGCTGCAGACCCAGTTGCCCGCCGTGTGAGGATACGGACACTCACGCGGGTAGGCATGGTGCAGCCATTGTGCAAAGAGGCGCCCATGAAGCGGCACCTCAAATGGTTGTGCACATGCTCGCCAGCTTTCGTCGTCAACAAATGACCGGACCTCTGCCAGTCTCGAAAATCCGGCTACTGGTTATTCTCCTTTTCCGGATCCGGCACTTGCTGATTCCAAGCGAACTGCGGAGGTGGCTCGAAATAAGCGGGTTCATGATTCGGGAGTTTGGCCATACTCAAAACACCATGCACCCTGAGTTTCCCGAAGGTCCAAGGCACCGAGCCCCCGTGCTGCGCGGCCACCTCGTGCAGGCGCGCTGTCAGCGTCTCCGGCAGCTCCCCTGAGGACGTCGGAATGTTCGGGGAGGCTGGGAGGCTCAGGGTTTAGGGCTTTCTGGAGGTTTTTACTACACTCTCGCAGCTCGAAGTCTGCCAGACGAGGTCTCTTGATAGGATTTCGGCTCGCGCTCTCGCCCTGGCAGGCACGAGTTCATGAGGGTCAAGGCATGATGGCATGGAGAAACCCAGATAGCCCGGTTTCAGTGGAAACTCGAAGGTTGTATAGAGAGTCGCAGTAGCTACATCAGAAGACACAACAGGTCAAGGAATAGTTCTTCGGCTCTCGAAGCTTGCACAACCCGGGCGAGGTGTCTGAGCTCGAAGGGTTTATGGTGTAGGGTTGAAGCTTTTCTGTGGCTGAAAGAAAGTCACAATGACGATTTCTGGCGAAGCACTCTATACACTACAGCCTACAAGCTTAGCCCCAGAACCAAGTAACGGGACTTTGCAGCCAAGGGCGCAACATCCGGTTCCCCCAAAACTATTCCAACACACCAGTTACAGTTCACTGAAAGCCGTAACTTGCACCCTAATCAAACCCTAAAGACTCATGTAAACCAGACAAGGTGCGAGGCGTCCGCACAGTGGCGGAGGGCAGCGAGGCAACAATCTCAAGGATTTCTTTGGGCTCCGCTTGAGGAGCAGCCACCTGCTAGTCCACGCGAGTTTTGAGGGTTTTGAGTTGAGGCTTGGGCTTAAGTTCCAGGGGCTCCGACAACCAGCAGAGCACGGAAAAAGCTTCCCGGCTCAGGACTTGAGGTCATAAAGGGAGAGAACGGAGAGAGCCCCATCTCCGACACATCCCTCAGGCATCCGTTGATACACAGACAGTCCTTTTCTTCCAGGCTTGCCTTGGCCTCGAGGTGGCCCATCAGGGCCTCGCACTCGTTGATGCAACAGACCTTAGCATATTTAGGATATTAGAGCATGTGAGGCGGGATCTCAGACCCCGCTTTCGTTCGTCGAAGCTTCGGTGTTCGGGCGATGCAGGCTTTTCACGTTTAGACTCAAACGTTTGCAGTTTCGTAAGCGCCCAAACGTGAGGTCAACCTGTATTGAGAGGCAGTTCATTGGGGGGGCGACTGTCTGAGCCAGCGACTGCATGCAGCCCTCGCAGTGAGGAGCAGCTCCAAGGCTTCAACCCTACACCTCGAGCTTAACCGGTAACCCTCAATGAAGCTGCAGCTTAGAAACAGAATAGATACTGGATGACGCCACGCAGTTCGACTGTGAGTTGACGTAGTTCGGGATAAAGACGGCGAGGTGCGAACGGTCCGACTCGTCCAGCGCACCGAGCTCTCGCAAGTATTCGATGCTCTCAGAGAACCTCGCTTTGGGGATTTTTTGGCGTCTTGATTCTTGATTGGTGGAGCACGAAAAAACTGAAATACTAAGTAACTTGGCGAACCAATGGCATGGAACCAAAACAACAGTTCAAAAGAAACCGTGGAACTGCCACTGGCCCCCCAAAGCCGCGGAATAGAAGTCCTTCAGCAGGACGCGCCCTGTTCCAGCATGCTCGGACTTGAGAAGTGAAGCCTTCAAGTCACGGCACTCCGAATCCTGCCAGCGACCGTAGCGTTCCCCAATCTCCTCGACAATCTCCGTCGCCGCACGGAAGGAGAAGTTCTCGAGCGCAAAGTTGGGATCGGAGCTGGAACCCTTGTCGGCAACCATGCTTGAGCGCACCTGCATCGTGAACTTGCGCGTCTCCTGCCAACCCGGGTAGCTCTCCACAATCAGGTCGCGCTCTTTCGAGACGCTGGTAGCTGAGAAGTTCTGGGAGCCCACAAGGAAGAGGGTCATGTAGGTATCGATGAGGTCTTGCAGCGCGACCTCCTTCACCCGAGCGTCCTGGGAGAGGCCATGGGCCGCATAGACAACCTCCAGTCGCTGCACTGCCTCGTCGTGAATCCTTGGCTCACCATCTTTGGATGCAGCTAGGCTCGCCTTTCGGAACACGGTACCTTGGTATTCATTGGCATTTCAGCCTCGTGCCTTACATGACGGTTTTCAATGCTAAAACCGTCCGGGGCTCAAATGCTCCAACGTTGCTGCCAGCACCGTGAGCTCGTGTAGTCCGAGCCCTTGGTCCTTCTCGACTTTAAGGTGACTATATACGCTAGGGTGCGAAATGATGCATCTCGTATCAAAGCTTCGTCTGTTTTCGATGAGATCAGAGATCAGTGTCAGGGATGATTTGCAGCTGAGAATCAGCGCTAGATTCATGGTCGACCGTTAAGGATCAAATGTTCATTTTAGGCTTAGTGTTCACGGTCCTTCAAGCGCTCTTCGAAGAGCGACAAGACAAAGGACGGCACATGCTCCTGAATTCACAACTTCTGTCTTGGAGGGCAGTGGAAGCAGAAAGACGTAGTGCCATTGCAGCACGAGGTTGATCGTATGTGTTGCGGCGCTGCAGGTTGCAGGCTTGTTGCATTGCTGCCGTACAGTATTACCTGAATGGCTTCCAGGCTTTAATCTCGATATCAAGCTACACATTGCGTGCTGCACTCACACCGCTCGCCATACTTGCATGGTCCTGCTGCTCCTTTGCTACACGTTTGTTCGATCGATTGCTGTTCTGCTGTTTAATCAGTGCAGCACTAAAGCAGCTCACAAACCATCGCAGCCATCGCAGTACACAGATCAGATCGGGGACTTGAGACATTCTGCCGTTCAGAATCTAAACGCACGGGGTAAGTGAGGCCTTTCATGCTGCCAGCTTCTACCGCTGAAACCCAAATGGCCAAAGCATCTTATGCCCAGGTCGCACTGACTAAAAGCCCGTGCTCCTCCAGCACCTTTGAGGTGGTCACGTTCTTCCAGTCCATGCCATCGGCCTGCAAGCCCTTGATTTGCATGGCGTGGCGCTGAACGAAGAGCCGATGCAGCACATACCTCTCAGGAGCGAAATGGCCCGGAGATCTAACTGCTCAAGTTAGTAATGACCGCGAGTCGCACCGTCGAAGGCGTCTCTATTTACTACTCTGCCATGATCTATTGGGACCGAGATGGGAGGACTTTGTCTTCTGGGTAGCTGCGACAATTCCAACTAGCTGGGCTCAGAGGATCTCGGAGATAAGGCTTAGCTATGGGGATCTAGGGCTTTTTTTGCCTCCGGCCTGCTAGGACGAATCTGCGATGCAGTGTTTAGGATCTCGGGTCTAAGCACCGAAAGTGCTTCAGAGTGCCTACTTCGGATTTATTCATGTATTCATTTAATGTCTCTACTATATCTCTATATATATATATATGTGTGTGTGTGTATGTATCAAACACACACCCATCACTTAGCAGCTTGCGTGTATATATATATGTATATATATAGAGAGAGAGAGAGAGAGAGAGAGAGATAGAAAGAGGTAGGGGTTCATGTACCACGGCGCAATGGACAACACTCCCGCACCTGGCAGCTGCATCTTCCAACTTGCCGTGCTCGTTCTTGGGCATTGCCACGAAGGTTGGCTTCAAAACCGCCTCGTCAGAGGCTTAAGAGCGCACAAACACGCTTGCTGGCTTTCTGCCCCAATGCCCGTTCACTGAACTGCACCAAGTTGGGCCACTGCCGTCATTCACTGAGATTCGTTATCACAGTGGCTAACACACAGGTGTCCTGTCATGGTCTCCAACCTGACGAGCTTGTGCAGTTTGCCTTGCGACATCCTGTTTTGAACCTGCAAAGAACAGCCGCCCAAACCCGAATCCTCATGTCGCAGGACTTCTTGAGGTAAACCTCTCGATGATTGCCGGGCTGGTCTGATTCTGCTGATAACCGGGGTCGTAGCAAATATTCCGCCGTAACAGCGAGGACTTTCACGATGGCGATGACGAGAAGTTTATCACACGCTGGCGATGTTGACATGGAACATGCTGTGGTTATGGTGGTGCCGCAAGTACGGATGAAAATCATGATGCCCATGGTCACTAATGTCAGTACTGTCACCTGCGCGACTCCCCTTCTGGTTGTGGTGCAACATGGACCACTTCCTAAAAACCCTATTCAGCCCGTTACTGAACCCTACAAGCCCCATATCAACCATACCACGTGGCCATGAATGAACCTTGCTCTTAAACCCCAAACCCAAACTATGTATGTAGGTAAGTATGCATGTATGTGTATATATATGTGTGTGTGTATGTATGTACGCACGTGCCTACGTATGTATGTCTGTATGTGGCTTCACTCCCGAGTCTCAAGGCCCTTTTCTGCCACGCAAATAGTCGGTAGCAGCGCACGGCTCCGGTCTAGTGCATTTCAAATCTGCTCCAAACACCACCGCCCTAAATCAGAATAGCGGTACTGTATTACGAGCAGTATTAATGTTCTTGGTAATACTACCATTCTTTCAAGTTGATTCTTCTTAAACCTGGTATTTCTTATTGTTTCAAACGACTGCATTAAGTTCGAAATCCGGGGCCTCGATGCTCTTGAGGCGCTTGTCGGTAACGCGGTTGCCGGTTCCCAGAGCTGCCATGACCTGGCCGGAGGCCCGAGGTTTCCTGCCATACTATTCTAATTACGACGTTTATTATTGATCTAGTTGTTCTTCTTGTTAGTACTTATCACCTTCTTGAACTATTGTTTATTATTACCAAGATAGTAGTATCACTATGCATGTATGCATATATACACACACAGCCACACACACACAAATGCAATATACATTGTAATCTTCACCACCTGCCGTTCACAAGCTCGCACTGGCAAAGCTCGCCTCTTGCAACACGGTCTCACGGAGCTGGTCGGTGCTCATGGACCCGGCACTCGCATGAAGGTTTCCTCGAAGAGAGGCTTCCGCGCAGCGAGTCGCGGCGAGGACGAAGAGAAGGCGAAGGGCCATCTTGAATATGAAATCGGGGGCCTGAAATGAACAGGAGCTGACACTGGCCAAGTGAGCTTACTTGAGCCTCGGCTGGCGCAAGGAAGGCCTCAAGACCAAGCGCAGGGTCTTTGCTGAATTGATTGTACAACTCCGAATTCAAAACAACACGCAAGTTCCTGCCAACTCCTGTTGTTCTAGAGTTACTGCAGTGGCAACTTGCACGAAAGCGATCTGCGCCGGGAATCTTGCACTTGCACTTTGGCGCTGTGCGCATGCATCGGTCAACGAGGACTATGACAATCGCGAGAAAGTATTGCCGATATGAAAACTTTCGATGAGAAGGGTGTGTGAGCCCGATCCTTTTCCTTCTCTGTGAGTATGCTTTCAGATGCGTGACCGGTACATATGAGCAGCATTGAAGCCTGAACCCTCTCTTTCCCCATTCTTGTCTGAAGAGGCATTCACCTGCCAGCCGCAATGAAACGAACAAAGTAGACACTGTAGACGGCAGTTCCGCTGCACCGGCCACAGAATCCCAATAACAATAGTCATAGCAAGAATATAACAGTATACTTCTACTCATACAGAAAGTATGGCATCTATGATGGGACCGCTCAGCTCGGAGCCGGAACTTGCAATGCTTGACGTTTTGCAGCTCCGAGGCCCAGGCTCTCGCGCATGACCCTCCTCCGAAAGGGTCTTCACCTGCTTCGCTACGGTTTTGGGGTGGCAGATATCGTCCGCAAGCTTGAAGTCTAACAGGTACTCCTTCCCCGAAACTTAGGCATTTACGAGCTGTTGGTAGATATTTCCCTCGAAACTCAGGGATTTACGCACTGTTGGTAGATATTTTCCCCGAAACTCAGGGATTTACGAGTTGCTAGTAAGTGTTTGACGATGGTTTGCAAGCACCCAGTGGCCTCTAGCTCTAGCACTGGCTGCTCACAAATATCCAAGAAGCATTTGCTTGTGATAGGTAAATTTGTTGAATACACCTCGTGCGGCCAAGCTCTACAAACTTCAATTGGCTTGTCCACAAGTCTGGACTTCGACGGCTCACGACACCATTTACAAAGCCCATGCCTATGCACCCATGTGATCATGTAGCTAGGACAGATCCCAGACCAATCTTGTAGGCCCACCGGCAGCATTTGATCCCTGAGCCGTGCGAGAAATCCTGAAATTCGGGCCTTGAGGTCAAAGTCCTCCTGCAGCTTTGTGCCTTGGATCCCAGGCACTGCTTCAGGGTTATGCTTTATAGCTTGAGGCCAGGAGTGTAGGCGCTGCTTTACACCGTAGGCATCCTGTTGCCCACCAGCTAAAAGCAAGCTACTCGGGCTAAACAAGAAGCTTGCACAGTCGGCCCTTTTACTTGGATGTGTGGGCATCATGTACATCTTTTCACCTGACCTTATGTTACATCGTACTATATTGAACTTTGGTGCTGTACATGTACATACACATGTACATACATACATACATACATACATACATACATACATACATGCATGCATGCATACATACATACATACATAGATATATACATACATACATGCGTACATCCATCCATGTATGCATCCGCACATGCATGCAAACAACAACATATGCATGTATATATATATGTGTGTGTGTATGTGTATATATATATATATGTATATACATATACATATATATATATTTGTATTGTGTGTGCATACATGTATAAACATACACATCAAATACACATGTGAGTCTTTCTCTGTGTTGATATTCGGCGTAGAGGCATGTTTATGTACTTCCTGGCTCTTGAACGATCTAAGAAAGTACTCCTCTCGCTCGATTACATGTACTGTACGTACATACATAAACAGATGAATAAGCCCAAGAATACATACAATACACACACACACATGCATGCACACATTCATTCTCGTTCATGCATGCATTCAGTCAGACATGCAGGCATACATTGCTTTATATTACTGAGTCCTCTCCTTGACTGTTTAATGTATACCTTATGTATACACATGCATGCATGCAGACACACAGACACACAGACAGACAAACAGCTACCTAGGTAGAAGAGAACTTCGGAATCTTTTCATGAAGCGAGTCGGGGTCGCTCATGTGAGGCTTGATTGCAACGGGGGTTGGCATAAGTTGGGAGTGCCGCTTTTGGGACGTTGGCGTGTAGCTGGGACGCGGGCTCTAGAGCCAAAAAATTGTCATGCTGACCATCCGTCCAGCGGCCACGGCAGGGTCCGAAAAGAACGCTGGCTGAAATGGACAGAACCACGCAAAAACCTTCCACTACTGGGTTTTCTTGGGGCACGGGACATCTCTGTTCGGCATCCTTGGTTTTCTCGCACTGCAAGGCCTCAGAGAACAGGTTTTGGGATGGCTTCCGAAGCTGCATCTGTCACACCCTGAACATGGCTTAAGTCTACCGCTGGCATGATACGAAATCTGACACCAAAAAATCAGACAACTGAGCAACATGGGTGAAGGCTCAGCACTGCAGGATACCTGAAAGCTGCATTTGGGGGAATGATGGGACCGCCCTTGACACCTTGCAGTGGGCCCCTACGCCCTTCCTGACCCAAAAAAGCCCAGCGTAGATCCCTGATTCAGAACCCCCGGCGCTTTCTTGAGTAGTGCGACCGGGATCCCAACATGACGGGTCTCATATCACTCACCCTCTCGGTAATCATCATCATCACACGAACTTACGAACAATACTACTAACCAAAAACTTTACATACTGCTGAAGGGAAGGCAAGGGAGTTGTTCTGTATATGCGCAAGGCACCAGGGTGTCGAACCCACCTGGAAGTTCGTCAAGTGCTGAGTCGGGCTGGCTGCGCCCCGAAGGCGATGATGCCAAGAAGGGGAGGGAGGGGGCTTGGGGCCTTTTGCTGAGCTCGGACAAGCAAGGGGCGAGGTCTCACGGGGTTTGGGTTTTCAGATTTGGTAGGGTGTGAGGCCGTCGGGACTACAGGCTGGATCTCAACAAACCTCCAACATGTTTGGAGGCAATGCAATGACCTAGCAGGAGATTGAATGAAACTCTTCGTAGGGCTCGAATAATTACAGCAAGGGACTGGGGTATGCGGTGCAGGCAGAGGTCATAACCGGCCCGTACGAACGCCCATCTCGCTTTCTGTTCGAAGAGTTGTTCGAGATTGAGGACCTGACGGCCCGAAGGGGTTTGAGCCCTCCGGGACTCCAGGACTGCACCGACCCTGCTCCTGAAGCTTTAACGCCAGAGATATGTTAAGTTTGACAACTACTACCCGGTGCTACCCCTTACAAGGTGGGATGGCGCAGCAAGGCCGGGGGGGCCCCTGCTGTTTCAATTCATTGGGCTTGTTCTGCCCATGCGTAGGATGCTCCATGAATGCTGACAGCCACACTTCTGCAAACATACCCGGTCCTACACAAGCCTACTCCCCGCACTTTTTTGCACACGGCTGCTGGGAGGTCTCTGCGAAGCATGTCTGCAACTACCACAACTAACGATCAGGTAACTTGTTGGGCTTTGGGTTTCAATCGCAGACACGTATTTTTGCTCCGATTGCCAAGGTCTTAGCCATGGGCTTTGTCTGGTATATGCCGAAGAAACACAGTCAATTAAACGCACTGCAAGCCTTCAATTCGGAGTCGCACCATGCTACCTCGACAAAGAACTGCGTAGCGCTGGAGACCTTGAGGTATGGGGCAGCTTGGGAAATCTAAGCGTGTACCGGAAGAGATCGGAAGAGTGCCGGGAAGCAGCTCACTCTTGATCTCCTTCGAGGTCCTTGGCTTGTTCGGACTTGCAAACCCCTCCTACTTAGCAAGGACGCGTGGGTTGAGGCTTAGGGTTAAAGAGGGGTGCTGCGTATGGGGGGGGGTCTCAACTCCGGTGATTCTCAAAGAAGTTCTGGGTAAAGGGTATGAAACCAAGGACCTAAGTTACAGGGTTTACAGGTTTGCACTTTGAGGGCTGCGGCCGTTCGTTGAAATCTTGCTGGCCTCAACATCCTGAAGCCCAAGGAGCCTCAATCCTCAATTTAGCTTGCTTGGCCTGACGTGCCCTCCAGAAACTCTCGCACCGCAAAGTCCAAATTTGCTTTTGTCACGTGTTGTTGCCGATGCTGATGGCAGTGAGGAGAACGTTGTGCACTGATTGCTTTATTTTGGCGCACAGAGAAGAAAACATCGAATCTGGATCGAAGGAGCAATCCTGTTCAAAGTGTGCTGCCACCGTTCTGACTCAGACCAGAAGTTGCACTGCTCCCCTGCAGCAAGTGCCAAACGTCAGCATACGGACATACGTCGGCATAACGACAATGACCGCATTTACACGCATGATTTCCTCATGCAGCTCATGAAATGAGCAGTGTTGTTGTGACTTACAGAAGCTCCTAGCTGCCCCATCTGACCAGCTGGCTGGGTTGCAAGGGCCTTAGACGATCTGATCCCCAATTCAATTCAACCCGAAAGCCAGACTTTCAGGTAGCGGGCCACGGACCTGTACCACTACAGTGCACGAATGCTAAGACAGACAGACAGACAGACAGACAGACAAGTCGCTTCTTCTTTCTGATCTTCGAGCTCTGCCTTTTTCTCGGGCTCGGCCGGGTCATCGTAGTAGTCCTCCAGCGTGCAGGTGGTCTTGGCTTCTCGGTGCTCACGCTCTGTTCAATATCTGTGTCGAGACAGCAGCTAACCCCTTAGTACATAAGACTCCCGCTCCTAGGGCTCTCAGATGGAGCTGTAAAGGACTCATAGCCGTCACTTCAGCTAAACAGTTCAGCTAGCGGTAGCAGTTGCGTTTGCCGTCGGTGCTTCCGCCGTCGTCGTCAACGTCGTGGTCGTGGTGGTCGCGGCGGTAGCAGTGGTAGTGGTAGTGGTAACCGTAGCAGCACCACCGCTGCAGGAGAAGTCGTGGTGGTGGTGGTGGTGGTGGTAGCGGCAGTGGGTTGGTGGTGGTAGTAGTAGTATAGTCGTAGTAGTA